TGGCTCACACCTGTAATCCAATTAATGACCAAAAAGCCAGAAGTGGAGCTGTGGCTGACCACAAAAAAAATTTAAAAATAAAATTTAAAAAGCTCACACACAGCACCTAGGCTCTGCATTCAAACCCTAGAACTGAATGCGCACACACACACACACACAAACACACACACACACTCGGAAGAGGAAGAGGAAGAAGAGGAGAAAAAAGGGAGGGAGGGAGGCAGGGAGGAAGGAGGGAAGAGAGGGAGGGAAGGAGGGAAGAAGGAAGGGAGGAAGGGAGGAAGGGAGGGAGAGGTAAAACTGGCTTATGGTTTTGAAGAGAATAAGTGGTGACGGAAGAGGTGATCATCATGGCTTGAGTGCAGGTAAAGGAAAAAGAGACAATTAAGGCTGAAGAGATTCACCGGGAAAAGCCCAGAAGCATGGAACACACAACGTGGTGCCTGAGCCTTACCTAACCTACCTGGAGGTATTTAAAATGTGGATACAGGACATGGACATTCCAAGAAGTAGAAGCCAATTATGAAAGGCTTTGAAATCTTATATTAATGAACCTGGACTTCCTTCTTTAGATAACAAATCTTAGAAGCCCAGGAAAAAGAAGAGTCAAATCCAACATCTCATTTGGCACACACTTCCCCTAAAGAAGGGGACAAAAGGAAAACCAGCAAGCAACCACAAAACCCACTTACCTCCACTTAGTAATTTCATGACCAGCCAAAGTTCATCTTTTACCACAAATGAGGTGTAATAGGTCACTACGTTGGGATGGCTGCACTGACTCATGGCTTGGATTTCTTTCTGCAAAAAGAGCAAAACATGACATAATACCATAATGCACAAAGGGAAAGAGGAAAACACACATGAACCACCACTGGGTACCTCGCAATGCTTCCATTTGAAAGCCTACCTGGGGTTGCCTCCGCCATCACTTCAAAGAAGTTATGTGAAGGCAACTCTCACCCTTGTCAACTGGCATCAGAATGCCTCCACCTCAATAGAGACCAGCCACAGCACAGAGGAACTTCAGCTCAGGATGTCACTCTGATGTCCCCAACCCTGCCAATAGACAGCTCTGCCATACAAGGACTAAGTGTCTCCTACAAATACGAAGGCCTCAGCACACAGAGAAAAGACTACTGGCAGCCCTGGGTGCTCTGAATTCTGATGATCCTCATTTGCTTCCTTCACCAAAAGGGCACAAAACCATCTGTGTCTCAGGACTGTGGAAGTAACGAGTGAAAGAAAAAACACTGGAAAATGGTAAACTATCATTTATTAAACTATCTTTTTGGGTAAACATTCTCTCCAGAAAAGAGGGGTAAGACAAGTAAAGTTAAAGTAAGTTTCAGAAACTATATGGTCAAGCTAACAGTGTCAAGGGAAATATTAGCAATCGATGGCTCTGAGAAGTCCTGCAGTAAATAAACTGTCATAGTTTAGACCATTCTCACAGCAGAAAAATAAGGCTGTGTGTATTACATTCGGAAAATGCTGCTAGAGGGAGGAAAACGTTGTAGCTTGTTTTGTTTTATGGTTCTGGGGTTTGAATTCTGGGCTTCACGTTTGCTAGGTCAATGTTTTACTTAATGAGCCATGCCTCCAGCCCTTTTTGCACAAGTTATTTTTGAGATTGGGTCTCACTTTTGCCCAAGCCAGTCTTGACCACAGTTCTATTTATGTTTCCTGTTGCAGCTGGGATAACAGGAATGCCCAACCATGTCCATTTTTTTCTGTTGAGATGGGACCTCACAAACTTTCTTGCCAGGACCAGCCTCAAAAAACCTCCAAATTTCAGTTTCCCACACAGCTGCAAGGACAGAAGCGCACCATTATATCATATCCAGTATTAGCTGAGATAGGGTCTGGCAAACCTTTTGCCTGAACTGGCATCAAGCCAGAATCCTCTTGATCTCCGCCTCCCGACTAGCTAGAAACACAGGTGGAAGCCTCCAGCCAAAAAACCAAATATTTACATCACCACATAACATAACCAAGCTTTGAAACAAAATGAATGAAAACCTTCAAGAAAGCACACTTGGCTGCAAAGCTGCAAAGGCCATACTGGATTCGGTTTGCCGTGTCAAGGCACGGTGACAGCCAGGAGGATGCCATCTAACGCTAACCCTCAATATTTTACTTATTTATTTATTTATTGGTTGGTTGGTTGTGGGGCCTGAACTCTGGTCCTGGGCGCTGTCCCTCAGCGCTTCAGCTCAAGGCTAGCATTCTACCACTTGAGCCACAGCACCACTTCCAGTTTTCTGGTGGTTTATTGGAGTTAAGAGTCTCAGGGACTTTCCTGCCCGAGCTGACTCCTGAGTAGCTAGGATTAACACACATGAGCCACCAGTGCCCGGCTCAATTAACCCTCAATTTTAAAGGTATCAACCAGACCAGCTCAAGGCCTTCTAAGGTGCTGTCCAAAACCCACAGGAGCACCCTGAGTCATCACAGTAATCTCATGCCCACTGTTACACATTCATGATGAAAGAAAATAATTTTGGTGTGTTAGGCAAATATTTTCAAATATAATGAACTTCTCACCAACTTCTAGCTCACTCAATAACCTGACCAGCACATTTCAACTGGGGCTATCTTTGCACATTGAAGTGCAGATTACCAGGACAAAGGTCTGAGTCAGATAATCTGGCCAACTTACAAATATATATATGTGTATATATATATATATATATATATACACATATATATATACATACATATATATACATATACATATTCATATAGATGCTTATTAAAAGTGTCATATACATATTCATATAGATGCTTATTAAAAGTGTTTCTTGCTAATGGAAAATGTATAAGAAACTCACCAACTTCTTTATTTTTCTAAGTTAAACATGTTATTCCACTGCTCCGCTTACCCATTTAAGTAATTACAGTTTTCCATGTCTGACACTTTTCAGTTCTCAATTTGCCACCATTTGAACAAGATCTGAAACCCAAGATCCAGTTTCCATGTGTTTCCGGTGTCAGGTTCTTATATCATGAGAAGATTCTAGGTGAAACAAAATCCTGCAGGCCATTCGTGCTTATACTCACCAACACAGGCCCGCTGTGGGGATGGCCCAGGCAGAGCACCTGATGCATGAGACAGAGGCCCCCTTTCATTCAACAAAATGGGGCATACCTTGGCACTACGTAAGCAGTGCAAGTGAACATCTTCCAAGCTTCCTATCTCCAAACTTGCCAATCAGTAACCAAAATGTACAACAAATAACCAATCCTCATGCAAAAGGATAGTCTTTTCCAATGATGCCAGATTGGGTACAGTCTGAGTGAACACTTTCTTTTTTAAGCCTTTTGCATTTAGATAGCTATGGTATCTCTTCCTCCCTACCCAAAACATCACATTTCTCTGATGCTATAGTGAGCAAATTGTGTGTGTGTGTGTGTGTGTGTTTGTATACACAATTATTCTATATAATCTATGGGTATAGCTAACAAATCTAAAAAAGTGAGCAGGGTCACCACAGATAAAACTCCCACCAATACCAATGCAGAAGCAGAATGCAGACAGAGGAAGGAAAGGTGGGAACCTGGGATGGAATCCGCGTAAATCTGCTAGCTTAGAATCTCACATTTTCTTCCACGCAGCCTCCTGGGCTTGTGCCACTTGGCTACGGAGTCCATAGCCCATACCCTTTCCCTATCCCTTTTAATCCAGGGGGGCTGCTCATGCCTAAGGACATGATGAGACTTGCCTTCAATAAAGCACCTGTCACTCTGTCTAAGGTATGTCCAATGCTGCAACTGCACATAACAGAAGAAACAAGGTCCTCTACTCACCTACTAGAATCTTCACTAATCTATTAACCATTGTATAGTCACCTTCTAAAGAAGTAAAAACTTGAAAAGTATTTCCAGAATCCAGTATTCTTCCCATAAACTGACCCCCTCTAGGGCTGGAGCAGAGCGCAATGCGGAACAGAGCTTCACAAACTGGAATGTGCCCACTGGCCCTGTGGGAAGCCTGGGACCTAAGAGTCTGCATGTCTGACAGGCCTGAGTGACACTAATGCTGTGAGACAAGGAACAAGACTTTGGGTAGCAATGAAGCACAGTGAGCTTCGGCGGAAGGAAGAGGTGTGCAGGGCTGCGGGAAGATGAGAGGAGGAAACACAAAGCACTGTCAGGAGGGCGACAAAGTTAAGGGCTGAGGAGGAGGACAAATCTAAAGGACACAGCCTTATCAAGTCCAATCTGAGAAGAGGAACAGAAAGCTAGGTGTAATATAAAGAAGACTGCAGCATTCAAGTAGCTTGAGTTCCATTTAATAGGAAAGAGACAGAAAACAGGAGAATAAAGAAAATCACAGAACTCTGAATCTGGCCCATTAATCTGCCATTAAGAACTATCACACAGGATTCCCTTAGGAGTCCAGTGAAAGTCTCTGACATGGCACCAACTGCCAGACTAAGCCATAGCTCAGGCTCAATGGGCTCACACGGCTTCATCTGAGATGCATCCAAAGTAACATTTCACAGGAGCAGGAAACGAACATAAAATAGGGTGCCCAGTAAAGTGCCCAAACTATCTACTAAGCAGCAGCTGTTGCTGCCTGGACCATGGGTGGGTAAGGTGGACCAAAGGATACTGGGCAAGCTTTGCAAAGCACAGGATGGCACAGACCCACAGGTGGATACAGCAATTTGGAAAATTCCCAAATGTCTAAGATACAAAATTTAAAGATATAAAACATACAAAGTAGCTGGGTGCCAGTGGCTCAGGCCTATAATCCTAGCTACCGATCAATATTCCATCCTCATTCTTCAAGGAAATAGAAGAGGCAATCCAAAAACATATGGAACAATAAAAGACCCCCAAATAGCAAAAACGATTCTTAACAGAAAGGACAGTGCTGGAGGAATGTCAATACCAAATTTCAAACTCTACTACAAAGCCAAGGTAATCAAAACAGCTTGGTACTGGCACAAGAACAGACCTCAGGACCAATGGAATAGAATTGAAAACCCAGAAATGAACCTACAGACCTATAGCCA